CAAGTAACATTCCTGTAATTTCAAACTCAGCTCTTGTTTGGTTTGAAAGGCTTTGCCTAATGGGAAAACAAGTAATTAAGAACTCCAGCCAGCTGTAGCCAACTTTAGCCACAAAACTGTTCATTTCAGATAGAGCTGAATAACTGACTCAACCTTAGTCAGCATTTGAAAACTTAAATAGTTGTTTCAGAATACTGGCTAAAAAAAAAAAAAAAATTAAATTGGACTCACTGAATTGGGAATTGTTGATTCTGAGTTCATGTTTGAGTTTTCAGAGTTATTTAAGGTGTTCTTTTTTAATACATAGTGGGCTGCGCTTTTTCACCTCAAATTAACAAATCAGATTTTTTTTAAGGACTGAGTCCTTAACTGAAGGAATATGCTCTTGAGATGTATGATTATGATACTGCCAAAGATCACAACCACCCCTGAAAACAGGAAATAGTGGCCCTATTAATATTGGGATTAAAAAGGAAATGAGGGTGAGGACTTGTATTGTGAGACTGTGAGTGAGGACTTGTATTGTGAGACTGTGAAATGCAGTCTGATGAGACTGAGCCGGACATTTTTGTACAGTCACGAAGCAGCAAAGCAAAGCTTGTTAACCTTTTTCATCCATTCCAGTTTCCTTTTTGTTTAAATTGAAATGTCTAATGTTTCCTACTTTGTTTCATTAGTGCATAGTGTAATACAGTTGCTGCTGCTATCAACCTTCAGGCAGACAGAAAATCGGTGAAGGTTGATGTGTGATACACTTTGGAACTAATAGCCCTTGCCCTCAGTTACAGAGCAAATATTGTAAGACTTGATTTGTGATAAAGATAGTGGGAATAAGAGGTAGTGCAGCTCAGAAAAGCCATTTCTTGTCTGATGGTGAACTCTGCTTCTTTTGGCCACAGGTGTCTCACAGTGCAGAGGAAGGAGTTACAGAGAACAGAGATAATTAACCCTCTACAAAAGCTCAATGTTCCATAAATGGCATGTGGAGAAAGTGCAATGGTAGTAGCTGCTCTTGAATCCCCAGTGAAGAAAATCTCTGCCTGGTGCAACAAGCTGCTACCTGTGCAGGGGATGGAGTAGCAGAAAATTCCTAAAGATATAATGAAACGTGCTTTGTTGGGCTGCACTCTGGTGGGAGCTGCAATTGTGTGACTGCTGCTGGAAATTGTGTTGAAAAGGCGTGGAAGCATCCTCTGCTCAAACAGGTGATGAATTTTCTTTATTGTGGCATGATTTTGGTGGGTATTAACACTTGTTTGTAGATAGCAGCATCTGTGGGGAAAGAGATGAGGTTTCATGGGGTGAGTGAGTGGGATAACTTGGATTTTCAAAATTTCTGCTTTCATGTATGCCTGCAGCATTGTTCATGTAATATGGATAGCTTCTGTGGAAGTGACACAAAATGCTGGGCTGCTGAAGATACAAAAAAAAGATGTCAAAAAAAAGGTGCAACTGATTTACTATGAAACTTGGTTTAGATGTGCACCTGGGCAACAGGTGAACAGTAAGAAACAGGACCACCAGGTTTTTACTTAGTTTAAAAATGGAGGTTTTCTGACTAGTGATTAAACTAGTCAAGGACATTCAGCTAATATCCCAGTAGTACTTTGAGAAATTCAGCTGACAGTTCTACTTCAGAAGCAAGGCAGTCAGGTACAGGATACTCACTGAGGTGTGCTCTCAGGAGGCAGAAAACAACATGCAGACAGAGTGCAAGATTGCAGTAGAGGCCATAGGTGATAACTGGGCTTGGGCTTACAAATCACATGGCAGATTCTTGATAATACTGATGCTTTTACTGTAGAATAGTGCTTAGGGCCAAGTAATAAGTGACAATTTGGCTCTTTCATAATTTGCTTTTGAAACAAGGTGTTGTTGAAACAGATTTTTCCCATGTCCCTTCAAGTTTGTTGTCAGAGCTGTGCTGCATGGGGTTTTTGCAGCAATGTCTAAAATAAAAGGCAGGGAAGATTTCACTCTGCTCGCCTGTAAGAAATTACTTGACTCCCCTTCCCTCCTCCACCTCTTGCTGTTTGGACTCATCCTCTGATAATGGGAGTTTTGCATAAGTGGTTTGTTTTTTGCTACCAGTGATATTAAACTTGCCTGTCCTACAAGGGAGAGCATCTTGGAGGAGGGAGATGGGGCAGTGCTCATGAGAAAGAAAGTGCAAAGTCCTCCCCTCTGAAAAAGGAAGGCTGCAAAGTCTAGACTGCAGTCTAACTCCTTTGGAATCAGCAATCGCTCAGTCCAGACTTTGTATTTAGGAATAACTCCACTCTCTCTGTTTCTGGAAATGTTGCTATCCAAAAGTAGGAAGGGTTCCTACTAAGATGAAGACAAGAATGGTATTTGTTGTTGCTGAGGGCAGTTAGAAATAAGGAAATGGCCCAGTATTTACCAAGTTCCTGAATGTTAACATTAATTTTCTTGAAATCACCTCAGGGGCATGTCATTGTCCTTCTTTACTGGTGTGATTAGTGCTTTTCTATCTCCCAAGATTAGAGACTTCTGCAGGAGTGGATGAACTGTGAAGTCAGTTGCTCCCTGAAAAACAATAACATTTTTCCTCAGTTGCACATGTGGAGGGCTTGGTGAACAACACTTTCCCAACATTCTTCTCAAATGTCACTGACAGAAATTGATTGCCACACACTTCAGCCCCTTACTTACTGCTGTACCTCAATCAAAGGTAACAGCCATTCCTGCATTCCCCTGGTGAAAAATTAACTGTCTGAATGCCTCTGCTCCAGCAGCACTTGCAGGCTGTTCTGCAACGGGTAAGTTTTGCCTGTGATGGATGGATGGATCCTTTCGTGTGGCATAAGTTGTACATGTGTATGTCCTGGGATATATTAAGCTGTACCTGCACAGCAGAAGCTGCGGTGGTGACCAGTCTCAAAAAACCTTGAGGAACCGTAGTGGAGGGACGTGGAGTAAGTGTTCCCGGGCAAGAAAACACCATCTTGTCACACAAAGAAAGCAGCTTTAGGCTCCAGCGGTGGTGCTTCCCTTCCCGCTGGGGCCTGCAGGCTCGGTAGAACACAGGCAGGTCTGGGAATCGAGAGCAGGGAGCTCTGGAAATCCAGGCTCAGTGGTTCCTTGAGAACTGTGTCTGATTGTTGACTACGGTGCGTCCGGGCAGGTACGAGCTGCGACCGGGGCTCCTCTGGCACGGGAGCCAGCGAAGCTCCCGCCTCTGGAGAGCCCCGGTACTCACTAGGATGCAAACCCGTGCCAAGCCGCCTCCGTCCCAGCACCGCCGAGCAGGGGGGCGGCAGTGACCCCACCACCACGCCGGGACCCGCAGCCCCCGGGGGTGGGTCTCCGCTCCCCCTGCGCCGAGAGGGCACCTCCCTCAGGGCGCGGCCCCGCCCAGAGCTCGGAGCAGCGCGGCCCCGGAGAGGTGGACCCGCTTCCCGTCGCCAGGCGCTCACAAGGGTTAACACCGCCGAGTCAGCGGAGCCCAGCGCGCCGCCCCTCGCCCGGCGGGCCCGCAGCGCCGCCGCCCAGCCCCGCCCCCCACCGCCGCGCTCATGGCCCCGGCCCCGGTAAGTCCGCGGGTAAATCCGCAACAAAAGCGGGGCGGCGCCGGGCGAGGGAGCCCCGCGAAGGGACGGGCTGGGGAGCGCCGGGGCAGTGTCGAGGCGCCGGGGCAGTGTCGAGGCGCTGCGGGAGAGCTGCGGGGTTCGGCCCGGGCGGGGGGCTGGCGCTGAGTGGCTCTGCCCGGCCCGCAGCCCCCGCTGCCCGCTCCGCCCCGGCCGTGGCTTGGCGGAGGGCTCGGCCGGAGCCATCCGAGTGGGAAATCTGTAGCGATCGGCTCGCGGTTGCCAAATCTTACGCCTCCAGCCGGGACCCGAGGGCGGTGATGGCAAGCAAGGGTGCTGCCAGAAGTGCCCCCTCTACTGGGGCTGGAGATGTCATTGCCCAGGCAGTTGGCGGCGACACACATCAGACAAGGGTCCGGCAGGTTTGGCCACTTTCTAGGGAGAAGAGAATGAGCTGGTGTGCCAGGGTGATGCCAGGGCAGTGTGTGCTCTGTTAGGGATCCCGCCAGATAAGGACTGTGAGCTGAGCAGTCCTTTGTGAAAGGAAGCCTGCAGACTTGTTCCAGGGCTTGCATATGTCCTGTGTGTGACCTGCCTTCAGCCTTGGGAAAGATTACATTTATGAGAACAAATGGAGAACCTGTGATTTTGAGATCTTTCTAAGGAACTTCCTTCAATGGATAGAGAGCATGTATTTCACTCAGCTGTGTTTGTGACACTTAGGCAGTATAAAGAAAACCAACATCCCTGACCCTCTCCACAGGGATGTTGCTTGGTGTGGTGCATCCTCAAGGAGAAATGCCTTTGGTCCCCTTCTCCTCATAGCCCTCAGTGGAACAGATTACAAGAAGGTCTGCCAAAGGAAGGGGTTTCTCACTTCAGTGGTTGTCTCTTGAAAGCCAGAACCACTGGAGCTTATGTTGAGTTTAAGGTAGCTCCAAACTCATTCTAAGTGGACATTCAGAGCAGCAGAGCTGGTTCGTGGAGATTTTCCACTCTGCTTTTGGCAGCAAGTGATAGCTCCAAATGCCTTGACACAGTTTTACTTACAGATATGTTCAGTGTTTAGAAAAGGAACAGCACTTCAGCCAAAATCTCCATAAATCAGACTGATTTTCTGAGACAAAGAAAGGCTCTTAATATGAATATTTATCCTGTGTGTTTCATAGCATCATTTTGGAAGTAGATGTCAACCATGTGCAAGCCCCAGTACAAGGAGAATGCTAGACCAGCAGTTCCCTTGCAGGATAAGGCCTTCCTGCATTTGGAGAGCACGCCCTGTGTATCTGTATGTGTATATTCACATGCATACTTCCAAAGAAGATCCTGCTCTTAATGCTTTTGAGCAGAAGCACTACATTTAATGACAAAAAGACAACATTCTCCCGTGACATTCCTTGAGTTACACAACAAGCACCATAGCTTGCAATAGCAAGCAAACAGATTTTGCAGGAGGTGGCTTTTCCCCTGTAATTTCCCACACTGTTGACTCATGTCAATTGTTTGGCTACTGAGCCACATTTGCATTGTTCAGGGCCTCCAGCAGCCTCGCAGCAGCCTCCTGCAACTCTTCTTCCTTCACTGCCTTCCCAACGGACAACAGCAACTTCAGTGTCTGCAGCGAGCTCTGCACCTGGCTATCTAGCAGCCTGAGAAGGAGATCCTCGATGTCACTGCTGGGCAGCTGCTGGCCACTGGCTGTCACCTCTGTGGCTTCTGGGCCAGCAGGTAAGAAGCTGGAGGTCACAGATACTTCCATGTCAGGGCTGGAGCCAGCTGGATGGGTACTTGTAGGAGATGTGGGGTAAAGTGGCTGCGGGTTGACGCTTCTGGATGACACGGCATCACTGCTCGTGGTAATGTCGTTGGTGCCTGGTGCGTGGTTCAGCTTGGCGCTGTTCTCTCCTGGGCATGCAATCCTCTGTGGAGGAGAAAACATACCTCTGTAGAGACTTCAGGAGCAGGCACCTAGGCACTCCCCTGTTCTGTGAGTTTAGCTCTCACTGCACAGTCCCATCTTTCCCACTCCCTACAAAGATGAGCCCAAGAAGGCAAAGAAACCTTCATATCCTTTCTTTGTCAAGTCTCTCTGTAAGACTCTCATGGGACTCACAGCTGTCTTTACTTTCCTTCTCTTCTAGCCAGCATGAGTCCCCCTCTCTTCTGGAGAAACCTAGATTGTCTCAACTTGATTGGTAATGAGAGCTAGAGAGGAGGGCTGAGGTGGTCCTCAAAGGTTCATTTTTTTTGAAGATAAGTCCTGCAAAGTCTCCTTTTTGGCAAGTGGCTTCAGGTGCCATCTGAAGCTTGCTGTGAGTGCCCCTGGAAGGTGGGCTGCCCCTGGCTCTCTCCTCTCTTCCCTGTCTTTTAGCCTCTTGTTTTCCCACTTCCTCATTTTCAGGGCTCTCCCTTTTGCCTGTTACTTGCCCAGGGCACACATAATCTCCAAGAAATAGCTAAATAACTCACCTTAAGAAAATACTTTTTCTTAATACAGCGGTAAAAAGAAAAGGTGCAGAAGTTGGGGAAGAAAGGATTTCCTGGCATTTCGGAACATACGGGTCCTAGAAAGAGACAAATAAAGAGACAAATCTAGTGATAAACTTCAGTGCTGGCATCCTACCAGCCCTTAGCAATAGCCTCGCTGTCGAGTGACATCCCTCCATGAAAACCCCTGTGTCATTTGGGCACCCTCTGAACCTTGTGAGAAACTTGATGGTTTCTTGGTCATCTCCATGACCCAGGATGTGAGAGGAGGCTGTTCCTAGGGACACATGTGGATGCAATCAAGTGTGAGAGAGGATGTGCATGAGCACATGCCTTCTCTTCACTGCAGGATTGCTTCCCACCCCTCTCCCTCACCACCTCCTGAGTCTATCCTCTCCCAGTGATCAGGTCCCGTGCTGGCCATGTGGAACCCCCATCCAGCCGCCCTGCTATTGGGAATCACAGTTGGCTTTACCTTGAGGGATGACTCCATGGTTTTCGTACTTGTCCAGTGTCTGGACCAATGAGTTCTGGCAGCCGTACAGCTCACGGAGATGGCAGGCAGTGCTGGCTTGGAGGGTGATCCGCAGGAACTTGAAAAACTGGCGGTACTCCTGGTTGGAGAGTGGCGTTCCTGCCTGCTGTGCCTTTGTCCACTGAGGGCCAACTATGCAGCCCCAACCCAAGAGCACTGGTGAAAAAAAATGCAGGGAGTCAGAGGGAGAAGGAAGTGCTAATCGTGCCACATTCAGAAGAGCTGGAGTGTTGAATCCAAATCGCTGTTGCCTTTTCTGGGTGCAGGATCCAGCATGTGGAAAGTGCAGTAACAGACTAGAGATGGTGGGTCCAGACCTGGGGAAAACCTGCTTCACCCATGTTGAAAGAGGTGTAGTATTTTGGGGACAGCACTTGGCTGAGGGGCCTTCACCGTAGCTCTGGAGATTCAAATCTTGAACTGGGACAAATGGAAGTCATGGCTTAAACTGGGAATATTGCTATGCTATTGGGGCTGGAGCAAGGAGACTGTTCCATTTCAAGATTTTTAGCCTCTGCAAATGTTCTTCCTCTGGCTAAGTAGGTCTTTAACCAAGGTCCTCTCTCAGACCTCTTTCTCCTGCCTCCTCTGTTGCTTCACTGGGCCAGCTCTTTCCTCCTGGCCTTGCAAGTCAAGTCTAGATTCTGTGCTTCTGTCTGCTTTAAGGCACCCAAGTGTCCCTGTCTCCAGTGTCCACCTCTGCTCCAGCCTGTGCCTACACATCCAGCTCTGACTGCTCCCCAGCTCCTAGGTCACTACCAGCACCAGTGGATGAAAACTGGCAAAATTGTAAGCCTTGGGATCTTTGCACCTGAGGTGTTGGAGGGTGTTCCCATCCCTTCCTTTTACCTCCAAACTGCCCAAGCTGAGGAGCGATGGGGACGGGTGCAGAGCAGCCACTTCAGCTGCCCTTCCTCACAGCAGGGCTTGGAGGAGAGATGTTTCCTACTCACCAGACAAAACCAGGTAAGCCCTCATAGCTGACATCGAGCTGTGAGCAGGGCCTGCGACAGGCAGGGCCGACAGTCGGGGCCCAGTGTGCTGTCAGAGGTGTCACCTCCACTTCTTCACTGGTGATGTCATAGACAGCTGCATTCCCAACACTCCATCCTCTGCTGCTCCCGCTTCCTCCCTCCTTGCCTCCCTGATGCCTCCCTCCCCCTTCTTCCCCCTGACAGGCTGAGTGTGGACATATTGGTATTTGTGCACAAACTCCAGCTTACTGCCAGCTCTTTGAAGTCCATCTAGAAGGAGGCCATTTTGATGGAGCACAGGACAAAAAATTCTGCCTTCGAACTGTTCCTGTCAATAAATGTGTGAGCAGATCAAAATCTCGTCTCTTGCCCAGATCTATGCGTGCCTGGCTGATCCACTGAGAGCAACTGAGCAAGGTACTCCTTCAGTGAAGGCAATAAACAGGGTTCCAGACAGAGGCAAAAAGCAGCCTGGTTGTGAAAGTGGCTTTTTTACTCCATCTGCAGAACGGAACTTAATTACCTACATTATGTTCTCCTTTAGTTCACTGGGAAGAAAGGTGATGGGGAGAACAGGGTTTGAAGAATTGATATTTTTGTTATACAAAACTCGTCAGGAGGCATTTTTGGTCTGGGAGTGCAGCAGGAGAAACATCCAGACACTTGTGAGAGGGCAGCAAGCTGGCAGGCAGCTCTCAGTGTGTGTGGTTGACCTGTCTGTGCTACATGAGATAGCTCTGGTTATCGGACCCAAACAGGGGTGTCACAGTGTGCACGGCAGGACAGAAAGTGACCCTGACTCATGTTTCTGAGTGTCATTTTCCTATGGTCTAGGTTGCTTCTAGGTCCTAAACACTTATCCTCCTGAAATCTCATTCTACAGCACTGCTACTATGATGGGTATTTATTATGTCTGTTTTCTTTCCTCTCATCAGGACCTGCACTCCCCAACTTGACTTTAACCTTTCAGATGGAGTGAAGAGAAACAGCCTTTTGGCCAGAAGCAACTGAATACCAGGACAGTAGAGAGACTGCTCACAAGGTGAGAAATTGCATGAAGCATGTCCAGGAAGGGAAGAGCTGAATGCTGAAAATTTGGTGGGTACTGTGCTGCACGCTCTGCAGTCACCCTGCCTCTTCTGCTCCCATAGTGTAGAGATACTACTTTCAGGAAGATTTGTAGGCAGTCCTGGAGTATCTAGGCTCTGTCCAAAATGAAACCAAATCCTGTGTATTTTTCAGCAAAGACTACGCTCAGAGTGTTAAAAGACATAATTAACCAAAGTGTGGCTTTGTCTTCCTTTTACACAGACACTTTGCTGCTTTGATGTGCTTTGAGATGCTTTTGAGTACCTTTATTTGTACTACAAATGTTTTTCATCCCTAAGTGTTGCAAACAAAACTTCGGGAATTGATATAACCAGTGTGGTGGTGCCTTCCAAAATCTGCAGATCACCCAAAACAAAACCTGCTGCATGACCTCATATTCCATGTCAGAGGATGATCTTAAGCAGTGCCACCCAGCTCATCCGCTTACTTCACACTCTAGCATGCATTTCCAAGGCATGTTCTCCAAATGAGTACAACCAGTAAAAAATCAGGAGCCTCTAAATGTTTCAGTCTAAAGGTTCATTTTCCTGCTTGATTAAATAAAACAGTTTATCTTTCCACTCACTTGCCTATCTGTTTTGTAGACAAAATTTAGATAGAATTTGCTGTAGAATATATAGGGCTTTCTTTTTAAGGAAGAGTGCTGTGACTGGAAAGAAGAAGGAAAATAGTCTACTGGGCATCTACTTGGGTGGATGTTCCAGTGGTGGTGGCTGTTTCCTTCCTTGATTAAGCATAGGAATGTTGACAGAAGAGCAGTGGTTCACAGGCAGCAGGAAGGAAAGCAGATACAGTGGGGGTTGTTGAGGAGAGCTGTCGTGATGTTCCTCTAACCTTGCAACATGGGAACTTTGAGGGCAAGAAAGTGACAGGTCTTGCCCTTTAGGGCTGTAACTTTATGAAAGAGGACCCCCTTTGCAATCTGTGCCACAGTGGCCACCCATTCTTGAGTCACATTCCGTTCCTATGCTCCTTGGTTTCCATGCCCTCCGCCCTGAGAAGATACTGAGGGGCTGTCTCCTGTGCTGTCCGCTCATGGTGCAGCAGGTCTTGATGGCCCTCCTGTTTGGGTTTCTCCTTCAGAGAGGCAGAGGGTTATTCATTGCTAGTTCTTCTGTTCACTCCAGCAGGTGACAGGACCATGGGCGACATGCAGAACGGCAGCCTTCATCAGGAAAGTCCTGTGAGAGCTGAATTGCATCTGTGTTCCCCCAGGAAGCTCACAGGAGATACCTTGCAGGACGCCAATCAAAGACAAGACTGCAAGCAGGAGCTGGAGATGGAAAGTGAGATGGAGGCATCTTTTGCAAAGAGACAGGGAATGGTAACTCCCTACAGGATGAAAATCTGGGAGTGCGAGGACAGTGGTAGAGGCCACATCAGCAAGGTTATCCTTGCTGGGGACAAGCCCAACCCACCCATGTGTGGGAATGGTGCCATTTGGATTCAACAGGTGGGAGAGAAAACCTATGAGTGTCACGAATGTGGGAAGAGCTTCAGCCGGAGTTCTTACCTGAGCCAACACCAGAGGATCCACCTGGCAGAGAAACCCTTCAGCTGCTCCGAATGTGGGAAGAGTTTCACCCGCAACTCGGACCTGATCAAACATCAGCGGATCCACACTGGCGAGAAGCCCTACCAGTGCAACGAGTGTGAGAAGACCTTCAGCCAGAGGTCCAACGTGATCAGGCACCAGCGGACCCACACAGGAGAGAGGCACTACCTGTGCAACGAGTGCGGGAAGAGCTTCAGCCAGAACTCACATCTCATCGTCCACCAGCGCAGCCACAAGGGTGAGAAACCCTTTAATTGCCTCAGGTGTGAGAAAACCTTCAATGACCGTTCCTCCCTGATCATACACTGGAGAGTCCACACGGGAGAGAAGCCCCACAAATGCCAAGACTGCGGGAAGTGTTTCCGGGACAGCTCAGCCATCATTCGGCATCAGAGGATTCACACAGGAGAAAAACCATACGAGTGCACTGAGTGTGGGAAAACCTTCCGGCAGAGCTCCTCACTGGTGACCCACACACGGACGCACACGGGCGAGAAGCCCTACAAGTGCCCTGTATGTGGGAAGGGCTTCAGCCAGAGCTCAGCACTCACCGCTCATCGCCGAATCCACGGCGGAAAGGCCCTGCCCATGTACCATGGCAGCCTCCTGCCTAACCCCTACCAGTGCACCGAGTGCGGCCAGAGGTGCAGCGACCACTCCACCCTGGCCAAGCACCAGAGCACACATGCCGAGGAGCGGCCCTTCATCTGCGTGGAATGCGGGGACAGCTTCCGGCGGAGCTCGGCTCTCAACGTCCACCTGCGGATCCACCGTGGGGAGAGACCCTACAAGTGTGAGGAGTGCGGAAAAACGTTCAGGCACAGCTCCGCCCTCAGTGCCCACCTGAGGATCCATGCAGGAACCAAGCCCTGCGAGTGCAGTGAGTGCGGGGAAAGCTTCCAGAAAAGCTCAGCACTTAAAGTGCATTTGAGAATCCATGCGGCCAAGACACCCTATAGAAGTGTGGTGGGTAGAAGGGTGTTCCCTTTCTGCTCGCTTCTGCCATAAGCCTGGAGTGGGTATTCAGGAAACTAAAGTAGTGTTGGGGGTACCTTAAGAAGGTGGGTAATGAGAACCACGGTGTGAAGAGACTGGAGACACGATATCTCTGCTGTTAGGGCTGGGTGCAAAACCCCAGTATCACAAAAACCATTAAGAGGTCTGGAAACAGGGAGTTAGTCCTAACAGCTGAGTGCTGGTGGTTTAGGAAGAGTGCCAGGAACGTGAGGAATGAGCACCAGCCTCAGGGTAAATCAGGGGCTGAGAATATGTGGTAGGATAACAAGTGGGAGAACTGGGCTTGTAAAATACAAAAGTGAAGATAATAACAAAATGTTTCAGGTTGGTTCTGGCTCAAAACATTAGCTTGTTAGACACTGTAGTAGTCTTAGGAACTAAACTCTCTTATTTTTCATGAATTTAGTAAGTTTACCTTTGTTTGACAAGTTTACCCATGTTTGACAAGGCATTTTCAAATCTTTTGAGTCTGAGACTTTGGAGCTGAACTTCAGTCTATTTTGTCTTTTCCAAATTTTACGTGGGACAATGAGTTCCTACCTCACGATAGGTATGTCCCCAGAAAACGTGGATGTAGAAGCGTTTCCAGTTGAAAAGCAGCCCATTAATAGTCTGTGACAGCTTCTCCCGGATTTCTTGTTGCTGATTTGAAACTCCTTTCAACTGGGACATCAGTGAAACATGGAAAAAATGTGGCTTTATTTTATTTAACCAAAAAACAGGATTTTTCCCCTAGATGTCCTAGTCTGAAATGTTATGTAGTGAGTTCTTACTGCTGGTTCGGAGACTGATTGCAGTTCTGTAGTCCTTTTTATGCTACTCTTCTTTCATTTCATGGCTAGGCTTCGCGAACGAAGATTTGAGAGGGGCTCTACCCACGCTTGCTACAAGCGCGCTGATGGCTAAAAAGGCCAATGCGAGATAGACAAGTCCGGTTGCAGAACGTACAGCAGAAAGACTCTCCAGGTGATATCGACAAGACGCGATTCTTTCTGCGTTGTCTTTTCTCCTCGAGAGTGATCCTGCGTGTGTTCTCAAAAGCAGCAGCAGCGT